CACGGAAAATGCTCTGCGCCCCTTCCGCCTTCCTTGCGCGCCGCTCATAACGCGCGTGACGCGACGCACAACCCCTTGAGGCGCGTTCGCCATAGACTTTGCATGTAAACTGGCAGCTCCTGCCGCTCAAAACGCTCTCGGTGTGAACGAGCCATCAGAGTCTATCAGAAGAAAAGTTGAAAAGAAATGTTATCATATTCTGTTGTGACAACCACAGAATTTAACCTTGACTGGCGCCGGCTGGCAAGTCTTTATCTTTCTTCCTTTTCTCTGACTCATCTTAATGCTTGAGGGCGGAACCAAAGTTCGTCCGCTTCTATTACTAACACGGACGTCTTTGAGTGATGGACACACTTCTTCCTGGATGCCAAACTTGGAAGGAAGGCTGAGTTGCTCTCCGGAGAAGCCAGTTTGGCTCGTTAGGTCTTGCCCATGAGCTAACTAGGGAAGATCTAACGGCCGGGACTCGGCATGCCAGCCGGATGTCCCACCTTGAGGCTCCAAGCCTCCAAAGTGTTTTAACTCCCGAGGGGAGATTTTATTTTGAAAGAAGGCGCCGGATGTACAGCTTGAATCTTTCTGGCTTGGACTGAAACAGATAAAAAGTTACCTGAAATAACACCTTTCTCTCCAAGGAACAGTGAGCGGGCCGATTAAAAAGTTCCCTGACTGATCGGAGGTGAGACGGTTACTACCCAGGGGTGACTCAAGAACCCATCACCAGGTAAAACTGACGTGTTCCGGGTGACGTGTCATGTGGAAACTGAGTGCAGAAGGGACGTGCTGACCCGGTTGGCCACACTCTTGATAAAGTAAAATTAGTATAATACTAACCTTACTTTCCTCCTTTTCTTTGTCTTTATTTGCCAAAACTTAAGTTTAAGTGCCAGTAAAATTGTTTAGTTTTAACATCAGAACTGACGTTTTACTGTTCTATATAAGTAATCTGAGTTGATGTCGATTAAAATTCGGACGCAAGTTTTATCTCATTTAACTCTGAAGCTTGTTATAGGAATAACCACAATCAAGTGTAACTTATGATCTGTTCAATTTGTGTAAATAAATGATTGCAGTCTTTATGAATCAACTTCAACTCATCTGAACGTTCACTTATTGTGTTACTTTTCACTTCYCACAGTCAAGATATTAACAAGTAATGAGAAATACCTTGGTAAAAGTTTCCTCATAACCTTGTGTATGAGAGATGTGGGAAAAGCTTAATTCACTTAAGCCCCTCCCCTACAACTTGCATCCTGAATTTATTCAGGAATTAAATGAATTTATACCTACTCATGTTTATGTAATTAATCATTTTAATGATTTAGCCAATTAATCAAAAAATAGTCAACAGATTAATTGATTATTAAAATAATCGTTAGTCAGCCCTAACAGTATCAATGAAAAGGCCCAAGTGTGTGTGTGTATGTATAATATAATTAGTGTGTTTGTGTAACATCTGTAAATATCAGTTATCGGCCATAACAGTAATAATTATATCAGATATCAGCTGAAATGTTCCAGTCAGTGTGTCTGTAGTTAGGCTCTTTAGCTTTATCACAGCTGCTGAACTCAGTCCGTCTGTAGTTTAATTAATTGTTTAATTCATTAGTTTGGTGAGCACTAATTAGTTTTCCTGTTTTTTAATCCTCTCAAATACAAAGTAAGGCCTACAAGTCATTAACCACAACTGTGGCACATCTGGATCATATCTCCACATCAGGTTATAGTTAGACTGCTGGAAAATAGTAATGTTTCCTTTAATTTACACGATAAAATGAAGAAATCTTTACAATAAGATTAAACTAAGAAACAAACTGCAGGCCTTTAGTGAGAGCATCAGATTAAACTTAGTGCTAAATAACAGCTGCAGTAACTGTAGTACAACATCAAAGTACACAGTTTTACTGCAGTACAACATCAAAGTACACAGTTTAACTGTAGTACAACATCAAAGTACACAGTTTAACTGCAGTACAACATCAAAGTACACAGTTTAACTGCAGTACAACATCAATAAACACAGTTTAACTGTAGTACAACATCAAAGTACACAGTTTAACTGTAGTACAACATCAATAAACACAGTTTTACTGTAGTACAACATCAAAGTAAAGTTTATTTACATGTTTAGAGCTCAGCTCGTTTCTCCGCGCACACACACGCACACGCGCGCGCGCGCACACACACACACACACACACACACACACACACACACACACACACACACACACACACACACAGCG